TCAGAGGTTCCAGCTTTGCATGATTTTCCCTTTTCCAGTCTTGCTTTCCAAAATGTCTAGCAAATTTGATTTCAGTGAAGTCTGGACAAGACAAAGGCTGTGGTTTTTTGACTGCACAAGTAATAAACAAATGCAAGATAAAAAAATCAAATGAAATGGAAGATCCTAATTGTAAAGTACAACTCAGAGAGAGAAAAACAAATCAATGGGTACATTAGACAGGCACGTCAGCAACCTATTTTAGTGACTGGTCATCTGTGGAATCAGAGTCAAAAAGACAACCTGGCAGGAGTGGAAGAACTTACAAACATGAATGAACAACAAACTTTATCCAAGCACTTACATTAGCAAAAAATTGACTAATTTGGGGGAAGAAATGTGGGACTGGAGGATAAAATTTTATGCACACTGTACCATGTACAGATATTGGACCCAGAGATGAGACTTCTACTTCCAAGTCAAAAATCCTTCTAGATTTTTTTGTCTGACTCTCACAGAAACAAAGGAATACTTCTGTGTACAAGTGGAAAAACTACATAAATTAACCATTTATTTCCCTGTATCTTATGGTCTGTGGATAGCTATTTTTCAGGTTCTTATTTCAAATTCTAAAAGCAGGACATTTTCATTTGCTTAATTAACTGCCAGACCCTTTGGCAATTCAGTCCTTTCTGATCAAGTTTATGCAGAAACCTGAAATTTATCTTAAACCTCATGTGTCTTTAAGGTCAAATAACACTGAGGAATAAATGACTAATAATGCTTTCATGTCCAACATAGGCACTGAGGTGGTGCAAGAATGCTGCTCCCATGGTCTATGTAATTTTTCTTTTATTTTTCTTGAATCTTCTTGCATATGATAGCAGATAAAAATAGCATCTATTTGTTTCAGTGTGAGTATCAAGACACTATTTTCAAGTGAAACATCTTTAAACCCATCACAGCTTTTAATTTCCACAGGAAATAACAGTTCAGGTTTTTGGTTTTTTTCCTCCACAGGAAAGTCTAAATATTTAAATTAACATATTTTTAATGTACTGACATGTTGATGGTCAGATGTTCTTTGATGCTCAAAGATAGATTGGCAGAAATCAGAGCAGCATAGGGGCTTACAAAAATGTGGTATTTATGTTTGGCAGCAATTACTTTGTGAAAAATACAAGGTGACTCTTTTTACCCTCCTTCTTTCTTCTTTTTTATATTTTTCTCCTCCAACTTTGGCATGAATCAAAAGAGCTAAAAACTAATTTAACATGACAAATGCTTTCATCACTCCCTTAACCTCTGAAGTGAACACTCTGACAAAGACAATATGTGTGGTATATGCTTTCCTTTTGACACTTTATAAATTACTTTCTTGTAACTGGGTTTTACCACCAGCCCAATATCTTCAGGATGTCCTAATTTGAATGGCTGGTTCTACATTCTTCATATGTCACCCCTGGATAATAGGAATAACTCCTGGGCTCTGTGAAATGGCACAAGTCTCAGAGAGGACTGTGGGACAATTTCATTTCCATCCTGAATGCTGGAGTTTACCAGAAGGTTGTGCAATACTAGCAACTACTACTCTGCATTTTGTTCACATCTGGCTATTGAGGAAGCAGGAAGCAGTGACAAGCCTGGCTTAAATGTGCAGCCAGCCCTGTGTATGCCATGTAATGGAAAAGTTAATTGAAGTGACTTTTTTTCCTATTCTCTACTATTAAAAATAGTACAACAATTGGCCATGGGAACATCTAAAAGTGCTCTTTCATACACCCCATCTGCACTTTTCCCCTCTGTCTAGTTCTTTAACAAGAAGACCAAAAGTCACCTGATTTATTTTCAACCTGGTGAATTTGATCTGTGTTAAAGTTTCTGCAGAAACCCTGCCAATGTCAAGGAATTCAGGCACAGACCATTTTGTCTAAGAGGGAAAATGTCTGCACACAGAACCAAGCTTATTCTGCACAAACAGGTGCCCTGGACCACTGCAGACCTGCAGAACTTTTTCCTAGACATCAGTCAGGGTAGTTTGCAGAGGAAGATTTAGAAAATTTCAGATAACAGTGGTACTGACAGGCCTAAAAAGGAAGAGTCTATCTAAATAGCCAGACTTTGATGACATATTATGATACAAACCATCAATCTATACATATCTTAAAAAAGAAAATAAAACCCCAAGTTACCTTCTAACAAGGCATATTGCCATTATTTTGACAAATGTTTAACTTAAAATCTCAGTAGTATCTTTATTTAACATCAATTATGTAGTGTGGCAAAAAGTTCCAAAGGTTATTTATGCACTATGAATTTATTTTTAAGGTGTTAAACATGCTGCCTTTTCATTTCATTCATTGTATTTTTAGTTGTGTGTTGGAGAAAAGGCAATAGGAATGCCTAATAATTTTTAAAATAATTTTTCTTTTCCATCAGTTATGATTTCTTTTTTGCTTCTCTCTTTAAATCACCCTCATTATATTTTTTTCATGGTAGCCATAATTTTTTGTAGTCTCAAAGTCCCATGTTTAAACCTGTAGACATAATTTTTCCAGTGATCCACCCATATCAATTCTCCCATCCCTTTTATAATAGGACAATTAATTTAGAAATCCTGAAGAGTATGAGAACTTCAAAGCTCTCTTTCAGTATAATTTACCCCATATTTGCCATCACTGCCTTTTGCATTTTGCATTTGCAAGAGTCTTGACCAGCCCTGATACAATAACATTCACACAGCCCAGATACCCTGACAAACCTAAGGAGCAGAACCATGGGCTGCAGATTTTGATGACTTTTCCCACAATTCTTACTTTCAGCTAATGTAGCCCCAGTGATGCAACCTCTGCTATGGTAGAGAGCAAGAAATTTTCTTTGTGGGCATGTAAGGCAGAAATACAATAGCAGCACCTTCAAAGCCTTTCCTTTTTTCAAATCAGGAGATGATTTAGCACCTTAAGTCACACTGTTGGAGGACAGCAAGGGTTAGTTTATAGCTGATGGTCTTACTCCTGCTCTTTGTCAAGTGCAATGAATTGCATGATTTTTTGCTGAGAGTGAAGGAATTAGTTTAATAAATGGCCTACCAAAAGCACTTCACTTTTACCTTTCTTTTCTTCTCAAGCATACCACTGCTTTTTTGTTTTTTCTTTTCTCTCTCTTCCATCACTCTAAATTATGATCATGGTGGATCTACCAAGTTTATTCATAGGATTAATTTCAGCTATTTTCTGGTTGTGACATACACTTATTCTTTCCTGTGTATGGCACAAAGCTTGTCAGGTAACTTCTCATTATTTAAACCTTGAGCTAACACTCTCTCCTAAACCCTGCTTTGTTGTGTTCACTACCAGCTCTATTGTGCTCATCATTCTTTCAGCTGGAAAGAAGACCTCAAAAACTTCTGTCAAAATGGATCAGTTATGTCATTACTTGAAATGATAGATAATTCATCAATTATTAAGAGTCAATACATTGCCTTACATTTTCTCTTGTCTTAAAAATGAAAGTATAAAAAGCAATAACCACGTTGCAAAGCTTTGCTTAAGATTACAGTAACCTAAATACCAAGGAAAAACCACATTTCATAATCCATCACTTCAAAGTTATGCACATGATTAAAATGTTCAACTTACAGTATATCATTTCCCATGTGCATAATCACTCTAACAGGGAGCTGCTGTATGATAACTGTCAACTTCAATGAATTATGTGCTTTCCAATCTTTTCATTTATACACCAAACTAAGCTTGTTATTCTTCTGAGGCTTTCTACAGGGGCAATACAGAAAGATGGTTAGATCTGTACTACTCAGGGTGCTGGGATGTAGGTCTGGACTAAACAGACAGCAGGAACAGGCAGCCAGTTCTCTCCTACCATTGTATAAATTAATCACATATGGAAGCTCATTAGTATGAAAAATGGGTTTTTCTTAGAAAACGGAGTCTATCCTGAAGAGTCAGGTTATATAGGATCAAAAAAAAAAAAAAGAAAAGAAAAGAAAGAAAAAAAGAGTGAATTTCAGCACATCTTTATAGATCTTTTGAGTGCTATATGTGAGAATAGTTTCAGAGAGGAAATAAATCCCACAAAGAATAGGTCTGGAAAGTATTAACAGAAAATATTGTCAAGCTACCATAATTTTGCCATTTACTCAGAGAGCCTAAAGAGTGTGCAGCACTTCACTGTCATCAGCATATTGTTAAAGGCACTTTAAAAGGTACAAAATACACTGGTAGTTTGTGCAGATACCTAAAAAAACCTTTACAACAACAGAGAATGAGAGGGGACAGGGGAGGAGGAGGAAGTCAGGAATTAATTAAATTAAGAAAAACAAAATCTCAGCAGCATGTTAAAAACATCTCAAAAAAGCACAGAAAGGATCAGAACACAGTGTGGTCACTATCAACATATGAATCGTGGGAAATAAACACAACATTCAGAGTTTCTATATTTTTCCTTACAAAATGCTAAGGATGAGTGGAATACAGAAAATAACTGCATGCAAAATGGAACCATTTAATGATTCAAATTTAACACCACCAGGATTTAGGCACACAGACCAATATAGACTGAGAACCAGTAATCAAAATAATTTTGTTTTTTTTATCTAAAGGCAGAATGTGATGGTAATATTTGAATTCAAATGCCACTGGCTTCTGTTACTTATATGAATTCACTACCTATCACTTATTTTTTCTAAATACTTTTTAAACATATGGCACTGCATCAAAAAGTGATTACATCCCTCTGTTTGGACCATTTATGAGATGTGCATATCTGACACCTAAAGTTAACACTGCACGTTAAGAATCCTGAATCAATTTCTTGCTTCCACTGCTCTTACAACAGTGAACGTGACTTGAACATTTTATTTTTCCTCATTAATCAGTATAAGGAATAATAATATTTGCTCACTAAGAACACGCATTTTTGAAACATACTGGCCATCCCTTCATCTGCTGAACTTTCATTTTGTGATGCAGCCATGTGATTTGAGAGAGGAAACACAGCCTTACCTATGAAATATGCTAGCAAGATGGCAAGCAGGACTGCAGCAGCAATTGCAGATAAAGCAGCACATTTCCAGCTACAGTACTTGGAGGGCTTTTTCAGCTTGAATGCATTCCTGGAGAATGTATTTCTAGGTAACAGTCTGGGAGGTGGAGTGTAAACTGTTCCTGAGGTCAGCGGGTAACCAGGGGAAGAACTGCTGAACAGAGGAGTAGTTCCAGAAGATGTCTTAAACAAGAAATGCCTGAAAAACATAAAATGAAACAGAGCTGAAAATGGCAAGTCCTGTAGTTAAGACAGAACATCTACTCCTGTACCATTCCAGCTGCCACAGCCTGGTAAATTCAAACAAAAAGGATTTTGTAGGAAGAACTAGGGAAACGAAAATTGTTCCTTTTTTTGCTACCAGATCTTAACAACTGGCAATAAAATACAGTGTCAGGATATCTTCCTTAATCTTTTCTGTAATTAGATGCAACTTGACCACATACTAGCTAAAACACCAGCGTGACCCATGAAGTGTCTGGGAGTTCCCTGTAGAATCCATCACTCAAAAAATGTTCTAAGGAAACCACACTCTGAGTCTCATTTACACTCTTGGCAAAAGCTCCCCGCAAAACCTCTACGAACATACTGAGCAAAACCCATAGTCCTGTAGGAGAAGATCTTGCCAGAATTAGAATGAACCATGATTTTGTGGTTTAACAGCACACAGGTTTGGTTTGAACAGCTAAGACAATTACCAACAGCACATGACTCAGCAGATAAAACCAGGATTTCAGCTGCCCATACGTTGTTTAGGAAGAAAATAAAAGAATACGCTCTAATGAATCTCAGAAAATGCTGTCAACACATTCCAGACAGAGGAAATGGAGAAAGCAAACTGGAAGGCTGGTTTCTTTACATTAACTTCTCTCAGTCAGAAAGAACTGACTACAAACATGTTCCCAGTGAACAACAAAAAGAGAAGCACAGAATAAAGGCTGTGGTCTTACAAAAAGTCACTGGGTTTAAGACAGAGAGCTCTGAAAACTTGCTCCATACCCTCTCCCTTCACAGCTCTGAAAAACAAGTGCTTCTTGGAATCAAACAGAATGAAGACACTCAGTAATCTCCAAATCAAAATCACAGCCTAAAATAACCCAGGTCTTGCTTCCAATGTAAAATATGTTTAACATTTTTATTCAGATACAATCCAGTATGTCACTCTCAAACCACCTGTTAGAGCTTTAAAATCCATGCCACTCACTGACAACAACAATTTGGAAGTTGGAGGCTGAAATGTGTTTCCCAAGTATGTTTTCCAGCCCACCATCATGAATGTGCCTACTGTCAAGCCTAGATTAGTGCATACCTATTCTACAGAATACCAAGAAGTGATTTTAAAGGCATTTTTTGAAATATTTGTTTTGAAATAAAACCCAGAGCATAAGAGATTGCACAGAAATTGCATACAGGTAGAAGACAGTAAAAGGAAGGCTGGCTAGGCTCCCCAGATTTCTGATTAAATATTTCCATTTGAAGAAAACCTCTGAAAATATGTTTTTGGGATTTTTTTAAAATAAATCAATTATAAACTCTATTAATGAACATGAAAAATCACTTTGAAATTGCCTTTTTTATTGGTTTTGATACTCCAAGTGGCCTTGTACATCCCTTTCAACAGTGACCAAAATCTAGTTTGTTGTAGAAAATAGACAGAAACAGTGGCAGTATCTATCCACTGTCATAACTTTTTCTTTGTGCTTTTGAGGCTTCAGATAGGCAGTCAAACTCAAACAGGTTAATTCTAACCAGTTACTTCATAGAAACATTGGGAGTTTTCAACAAATAAAGCCACCCTTCTTTTTTCTTTGTTAGTGAGGGACTTTAGAGGATAGAAAACTTTTCTGCACATCATAGGTGATCTATGAGAAAAAGCAGTAAATGTAAATGCTAAAAACCTTTCAAAATTACTAGCATTTTAAATTATGAAAAACATCTTTCACCTAAAAGAAAGCAAGAGATAATGAAAGTCTGATGTCTTGAATCCTTCATTTTAAATGGTTCTTTACTTTGCAACAGTTCAATTAAAGTAACTGATGGGAAAACGATGTTGTGGGGCTGGTTGTGTCACACCACATCTATTGACTCTTCTGCTCCTTCTGTCTGGGCAGAACCTGCTGAATTTGTCAGCAGAAGCACGTTTGGTCCTTCCTAGCTGCTCTCCAGTGTTGGGAGCACAAGGCCACTTCCATGGTTGCATCCAGGGACTGAAATGACACGGAGCATGAGGACCAAGGGGGGCAGAAGGAAGACAGACCCAGTGAGACAAAGGCAGGAGAGCTCCACTCTCATCCAGGCTAATTCTGCCTCAGCCCAGGACTCCTCCTCCTCCTGAATCCTCAGGGCAGGAATGACCCTCTCAGGTTTGGACAGACAGTTCTTACCCTTTTCCTGCCCAAAAGCAGATCTTTCACAACCAAACTCAAAATTACAGTCCTTGGAACTGTCTTTATCTGAAATGCCTTTAAACCCAGGAATTTTATGTCCTCTTTAGCTGAGAAGGCAGCTACAGCACCAACAGAAATTTTAATATAAAGCATTGTTAAAGTAAACTCAGATATATAATGAAACTCTGCTCCCATTAAAATTGAATTAATGAATATCCAGATATGCTTTAATAGAACATGTCAATCATATCCTGTTGCATGTGAGAAGACAAAAAAAGTAGAACAAAAAAGCAGCTCTACTGTGATCCACTTTGAGATACATAAAGTATATAAAGAAAACCAAAACACTTATCCATGCAAACAGGATCTCTATGATATTGTTAAAACTAATCAGGACTTGGTAGAAGCAAAAAAAGGCAACTGAAAAGGAGAAGATGTCATTCTCAATGATAAAAGAAAGAATGTCATTGGATAAACTCTGAATTTTGTCACATTTTGTCCTACCCAGGCATTTCAAAAGCTGAAAGTTAATTGTCTCAATATGAGGGCACCTGACAAAGTGGCAGCCATCAGAAGATATCATACCACCTGAAAGTATATAAGTTCTGCCTTTGAAAGTTAAAAAAGACAATTAACTGAAGATGTATTAAATATCCCCCAAGACACTTTGGAAAACTGGCACTGCATTCCAAAGCTGGGGGCCAGGTTAGCAGATGTCTTTAAATCACAGCAAAGCACACCAGAAAGACTGGGAAAATAATGGACAAAACACTTGGACCCCCAGAGTTTTAAATCCAGATTCAGCTAGTAATGGAAATAAATTGACTTGTCTCAACTCTATCCCTAAACCCAATGATCTATAGCCATATTTTTATGTGAGATTTGACATGCTCTGGTACAACCAATTGTCTGTGGGCTGAAGCTGCACAGAGAGAACATGAGCATTTATCAACATTAATTACAGCCTCACAGTGGTAAGGCTGGGAGCATTTTACAATGCCTGCTTATGAAAAGAAATGATCTGATTTGTACCAGTTCACTTAATTTCAAATACACTCCATATAAGAATTAAAAAATTGTATTCTCTGTCTTACCTGTTCACCTATCAAACAAATTAAGAAAAACACATTTTCTACCTCACAATTAAGCATTAGCAATTTGAATCAGACTAGGACTGATTTTCTATTTTGAAAACATGGGAGTAAATTTGCCAAGTCTCAGCCCAGTCTCCCTAATTTCTGTGGATCAATAAGACAATTCAACCCTGAAAAATTCACCAAATATGGTTGCCAGTCTAAGATGATTCTGTTATTTCAGTGACCTTGAAAAGCTGTGGAAGGAGCTTGGGTGCTGCCCACAGAACAGGAGTGAACCCTGCAGCTCACTCTGTGCTCCGCTCCCCTCTCCCAGGCTCTGGCTGCAGGATTCAGGATTCTCCAGGTCCCAGGATTCTCCAGGACTCAGGATTCTCCCCCAGCAGTTTCCAGCACTGCTGCTGTGGGGTCACACCAGGGCACGCTGAAGGTGACATCTGGGAAAGCTGAGCTTGCCAGGGGACATTTGAGCTCTGGTCTGTGCACTAATGGCAAAAGTTATATTTTGCTTTCTTCATTAATTCAGAGCTCTCCCTAGCATGTGCTTTCCCACAGGTCAAAAGGACCTCTGCTGTTCAGGGAATAGTGGTCTGACAGAGACTGTATTAACATCCATATTCTTTGAGAGAACAATCAGCTTTCCCCCCCCTCCTCCTTTCTGGACAGATTGTCATGGCAGCACACTGCAAGAATGAGTGGAGGAAAAAAAAATTGGTTTTGCGATGAAAAACTGTAATAGAAGGGAAGAGAAAAAGACATTTTCTAACCCAAATTGCTTTTTTCCCTCCTCATACTGTCCTAAACTTATTCTGTATGAAAAAAGGAAAAAAAGGCATACAGAGAACTGTAATGTTTAAATTGTCTTTTTTATATTTTACAGGGTTTTTAATAGTAATTAATAAATAGAAAAGCTACAGGTCAAGATAATAGAAACAGCTCAATTTAGTTGTTCTAGGACTTAAAAATATCTTCAAGCTGTGGCAAAATCACATCTGTCTATAATTTTATTGGACATTTATTCTTAGCAGAAAACAATGGGAACATAAAACACTGGCTTTCATTGTGATTAAAAAAAAACAAAAACCTTCTGCAGTTTTCAAAGTCTTCCAAAAAAGTAGCCATGAGTCATTTTATGTCAGTGGAATCCTCAATGTGGCTGCCAAATTCAGACAGTGAAGTTTTATGGAACATTTCTGACTTCCAAACAAAAAGAAACCAAGTCTGAGGAAAAATGTGAGCTGTTCTTATGCTTGTTATGAAAAAATGAACTCTGAGTGGTGGACTAGTGCAAGCCTTGGTTACCTGTTTCCCAGTCTTTCCCCAAATCAGATCTATTTGTATGTTCTCTCCATTTTTTGCAGAAAACATGGGACCATCAGCCACATTTCCACATCTCAGGGTTGATGTGCTAAAACTGCACGGAAGTTTCTACTTTTTGGAGTGCCTAGAACTCTAAAGCCAGCAATAAAGCCTAACAAATGTTATCTAGTTGTGTTTAAATTGTACAGTTACAAGAAATTGTCTGAATCCTGTCGAATCCACAGACTAAACTCAGCAAGACAGATTTTTCAGTGGAAAGCTATTTCAAATACACATGTATGTAAACCCACTGGCCATTGTACACCCCTGTGTGCTGTGCACCCCCACACCAAAATAAATGCCTGTGGAAACAGAGGACAGTCCTCATGACACTATTTCAGTGATTTTCAGCCTGCTGC